AGCCGTGCTCATGGCTGGTTATTTTTTCGCCCACTTTTGTTTCTTATATAAATTCAATTGGTTCTAATAACTTCCCCTGTACATTCCTTGGCATTACTGTTTGTTAGATCTCATTAACATATATATATATATATATATATATATATATATATATATATATATATATATATATATATATATATATATATATATATATATATATATATATATATATATATATATTGGTTGAGGGTTTGAAGGCTTTGAAGCGCTTAACCTGCACATGTTTTCGGTATGACAGTGAAGCATTCAGTATTTTCCTCAGTAGCTTCTGAAATGGCGGCTCATACTTTATTGCGAGGATTTTTTTTCTTATGACAGTTACTATTTACAAAAATGATGCGATGGCTGACTTTGTTCCTTGCTATTGTAATGATTTTCTATCTTACTTCCTGTAAATGCTATGCCATAGCAAATAAACTATTCACTGTCAAAGTAACAACATACAAACGAAGAAAGAAAGAAAATAAAACGTAGAGGACACTCGAAATTCGCGATCAACAGTAGAAGAAAATCGACCCCGTGCCCATCCCCTTCTCAGTTGTTAGCCTAGCTTCTGTTCTCAGTGCATGCCTCACGCATTTCGTAAGAAAACTGATGACTGTGTGTGTGGCATCGGGTGCTTCGAGCTGTCCTAGAACGCCTACAGCAGGTATCGTTGTAAATTGACCAATATGTCACAATTGTTAATTTGACGAATCAGCGGAGGGCCCGCTTTACGCGTCCGTAAGGCGACATCCAAACTGGTAGACGGAGAAAGTGCGTAACAGCGCAAACGACATGCGGGGATAGAACAGACGAGAACAGTGCGCCGAACTAACAACCAAACTGTTTATTGCAAACCAATGCAATATATAGGAAAACAGAATCTGCGCATAACCACGAACAATCAGCGAAATTGCTCATACATGTGACAAATGGCCTACCTTATCAAGAGCCAGTCATATCAGTAGACTTTAGATAGCACTTTGTTCAACATCCAAACCTACGCAGTGTTAGAAATGAGGTGTCGTGCCATCTAACGCTGCCCCCACTGTTAGGAATGAAGTGTCGAGACAGCCCACCACGTCCATTACTGTGGCCACTTTGGGTAGCGTGGTCTTGACTGGGGCCATCCGAGTCTCAGGAGAAGACGAGTAGAGGAGCCAGATTTGTTGACTAGAAGCGTTGATATGCAGTATTTACGTGATTATAGTAACGTGATACAACATGAAGTTCTAGGTGAAGCACACACGGGCGTCTCTGAGCTCCCGTTTTATATCCTCGGTCCTCCCAAGATTCCCCGTAAGGGAAAACAACGGAGTTCAGAATACTCCTTGCCTTCCTCTCCGCCTTCAAAGAAGGAAAGTCAAACACCGCCTCCTTCTAGACCTACTAAAGGGAAAAGGCACGCACAATTCGTTGCACAGTGAGGGGTAAATGCACACAATAGACAGCGAGACACAACTGGCACAGTATGATTACATGGAACCCCGCGCGCAGAGTCAACCCATCAGGTGGGCAAGGTTCAGGGTTGCCGCATTAAAAGCTGCTAGTTCCCGGGCAGGCTGCGAAAACAAGAATGCACCGAGGAATGCGGGAAACGTCCTCGTATAGACCTTTTCGCTGTTACAAAGAGGGGCGTTGGACATCTTCCGGTTTTGTGCACCAGCTTAGCCTGGGAGCATTGGCAGGGAACGAAGGCTTTAGTGAGTAGCCAGCTCATTTTCATTACTTTTCTCACATTTGTCTGGCCAAATAATACAAATAAATTTTCTTCTAAGCTACACACAACATTTTAGAAGTTAGTCGTTAACTTTAAGAGCCTTCCATTCACCAGAAAGTTGAAAAAAAAAAAACTTATCCTTACTGTGACACAACAAAAAAGTTTTCTGCTTCACCGTTCGAAAGTGATAATTGAAGAAACCGGAAGTTTCTTTGGAAGCAACACGTTTTGAGTTCTGCACATAAATCTGGCGATCGTCCTCGTTTGAACTGCTGTCTTCAAGGCAAATCAGCAGGGTGTCAGCGGGCTGCTGTAACGAAAGCATTGACGTTTCCCTCGCCTTCGCTAGTTGCATCGTTATTGACATGGTGCATTTATGACATCGTAGATGTGATTCAGCCGCACATGCGCGTAAAAATGCTATTAACAACGCACGTGTACGAAGTATTACGCCCGGTAATGCCCTCATCCAAAATGCACGCTCGCGCTGCTCACCTCACCTCGTGCCGTTGTCACACCTCACCTCGTTCACCTGCCGGCAGCCTCGGGATTGGCCGGCTGGTGTCACGTGATTTGTCCTCTCTGTGAGATTGCGCCACGCACCCCCTTCGAAGTCAGAGTGGTCGGGAGCACTCCGAGTCAGAGGCCGACGCTCTGAAACAGCCAACCGATGGTAGTCCGAGCGCTCGAATCCTATTTAACCGAAGGTGCTGTTACTTTCCAAGAGTGCTCTAAAGCGCTCGAAAACGCCCAACTGGATACGCCATTAGACTGCAATCGCCCCTTCGGTGGCAGTCCATCGGTCAAGCGTGTCTAAAGGGTTTTTGGCGAGCAAGCTGACAGCTCTGCTGAATTCGCCATACTACCACTGCGTTGACGCCACTTCGGAATGTCGTTTCATGTAGAACAACGGTTGCCGGTAGCGACCAGCAAGGTAGCGGCACAACAGCAGCCACCTCCTTTGTTGATGCTTTTACAGTGACGATGAGAGCGCTTTGTAACAGGTGAGCATTTAAGTACCCATTTGCTACAATTCACATGTTTTGACATCTGGCGAGATTCTACGCTAGTGCCGCGCAATCAAACAAGACCAAAGCAAAAAAAAAAAAAAAAAAGTGCCCTGTCCGTTACTTTCGCTGCCCCGGGTTTCATGATGTATTTCTCGCTCCGTTGATCCAACATGAGTTAGGGAGAGTTCTTCCGCTGCACAACATTTATAAATTGTTTTTTATTTACCCGAAGTAGTTTCAAGTTATGGTAATACTTACAACTATGTCGGAAAAAAAAATCATGTTCCTCCCTTTATATGTCTGCGGCAGCTGCATTTTTGATGGAGGTGGAAATGTTGTAGGCCCATGTGCTCAGATTTTGGTGTACGTTAAAGAACCCCAGGTGGACAAAATTTCCGGAGCTCTCCACTACAGCGTCTCTCATAATCATATGTTAATTTTTTGACGTTAAACCCCACATACCAATCAATCAACCCCTTTATATGTTCCAGCGATTACATATGTTCATCGTCAAGTGTCCTTGTTCTGTCTGTTTGATAAGTACGTCTGCAGTAACAAAACATCGTCGTTACAACATGATCACCCCTATTCAGATCACGCAGGTTACATAATCCTCTAAGCCTCACCGATACCTTTGGTTACACAAACGAGTTGAACACATGACACTTCAACACTACCGGAAGCCATCGGCATGTGGAATGATGTTTCCGATGATATCGCCTCTGGTAGTATACCCTAACATGTTTCGACACAAACTTCAGATGCATTTTTTTCGACATGACGTTGTCAGATGTTTCCCTCTTTATCTGTCAACTTTCCAGTTTTTAAATTGCGAAGGGTTGCTCGTTCTTTTGATTAACGTCCTGTAATCTGCTCTTTGTTAACTGTTCAATTACGAGCATTGTTATTTCTTTAGAAAAACATTTCGTCATTATTATCGGTGTGCAGAGTAGCGTTGTTCTTTATGCGTTCACTTTTGATTTCATTGTATTCCCTCTTACTTATCACCTTCAGGTGTATCAGGTGTTTTTCAATAAATAAATGCATCCGCCGCGGTCGATCAGTGGCTAAGGGGCTCGGCTGCTGACCCGTAGTTCAAGGGTTTGACCCCGGCCGTGGCCGTCACATTTTGCTGGAGGTGAAATGGTAGAGGCAATGCACTGTGAGATCACGGTGCACGTCAAAGAGCACCAGAATTTCTGGAGCCCTTCACTACGGCGTTTTTCATAATCAAATCGTGGTTTTAGGACGTAAAACCCCGTACAATATTATTATGAATAAAAATAAATAAATGAAAAATAAATAAATAAATAAATAAATAAAAGGAGCAGGCCTGCATTCGTTTCTCAGTTGAACCGAACATTTTCATAATTTATTTTATGGAATTGAATTTTTCCCGATTTCTCTGTCATGGGCCAGACGACGATATTTTGCTCACAACCAATGCCGTGAATGCGGGAATTTCTGCGAAACGAGCTCTAACGCTATCAGGCTTATCTTTCAAACTAAGTTTTTCATTGAGTGTCGCTAATACTGAAATCGAAGGGTTTGTTTATGTTCTACCTTCTCTATTTGTTCATATTCCATAGATATTCTGCTACAGAGCTTTTCATTTCTTTTGGGACACGGAAACTGGGCTATATTTGATGAAATAACTAAACTGCGATACTTTAAACACGACTATATTACGTTAGACGCGTCACTCCGGAAAATTACCCTGAAATACGCAACCTCCTCACGTTCGCTGTCCAAATTAGTCCGCTTTCATTTGGGTACGAGTCATCTTTTATTCTCATTACCCCCTTCCGCAGCACAGGTTGTCAGCTGGTCTGAGAACTGGCTAACCTCCCTTTCCTTCCTCCTTCCCTTGCCCTCCTCCTTAGCCCGCTTTTATAAGTTCGTAATGTCGACGCATTTTGAGGTGACAGTGAATCGATGACGCAGCTTTAAAAGAAGACTGCAATGCCACTGTTCGTCGTCTCGCACTGCATGTTATATCTGGGCCAAGAATAGTCGCGCCGACGACTACGGCGGCAAGCACGGGCGGCGCGCCCGCCGAGCTATTCCGTTCCCGCTGCTCTACACCCTCACTACAAAGGGGAGATGCATGGAGGAAGAGAGAAGAAAGCGCCGGGAGGTGCCGTCGCCGCCGCTACCACCGCCGCCGCCGCGGCACGGCAGCGCGGTAGCCTCGGAAACCCTGACGTCACGCACTGCCGCCGAACGGCTGGCGGCGCATCCCCGACCGCGCCGCAGCAGCCGCCACGCGGGAGGGAGCGAGGCGGAACGTCAAAGAATACGGCGAATGTGCCGCCATTTTGCTGCACACTTAGCTACACGGCCTGAATGCGGTTTGGCACCGGTAAGAACTGCAGTGTTGTGTGACAGTGCCTATAACAGGTCAACGCGGTCTACAGTAACGAGGGGCTGCACGCTCACAGCCAAAAACTTGTGGGAAAGCTGAAAACTCGCTTTCCAGCCTCGTCCCGTACGCCAGCGTCCTGCCGCGCGCTCTCCGCGTGCCGCCCTCCCATCTGCTCCTGCGGAAGGCGCCTCCATAGTTTACTACCTACCTACACACCATAGCATTGCACGCGCTCGCGGGAGAAGCGTTCGCAGCGTGAAACGCGCAGGAAGCTCTGGTTAGCCTGTTTACACGTCGCGGCTGAACTTTATACCGGTATTAGCTGTTCCATTCGCTCTGTGGATGGTTGAACTAACGCGTGGGCTAGCTCGGCCCTGTGATTCGCGGTGGTGTGCTCCTATATGTTCTTCGTCTTGATGGAGGAGTTCTCCTGGGATCGCTTTCTGGAGCTTGTACAACAGCACCGCTACCTGTATGACACCAATCAACCAGAGTACAAGGACGCTGCCCTGAAGGACCGCCAGTGGGTGAAAATAGGGCAGTGGTTCGGACTGACAGGTGAGTGCTTGTGAACTGAAATGGGGCGTTCGACCGCTGTGTTCACCGTAAGGAGACAATGATTTCACATTGCATATACTAGCTGCATCAGCTTGCTATTGTTGAATAATTCTTTTCATTTTGTGGACAATGAGATGTTCTTGAAATCTAAATAACGGTTTTACTTCATTGCTCAGAATAGGGGGCGAAAAATGAATCGTGCATTAGCTGTGGCTTAATTCGTTCAAATTACATTGTTTGAGCAGTAGTACGAATCATACCTACGAATAATGTGCCATTCTCTGAACGTGGTTCGGCGACGACTTTTGTTGTTTAGAATGTGCCCTCCCCTGCTGATTACTTGGCGTTGTCGTGCAGGATGGCAGGCGAAGAACAAGTGGAGAAACGCGCGCGACCGCTACATCAAGATACGAGTCCAAATGAAGCGGAGCGATCGCCGGGTGTACGACAAAATGGGCATTCCCGTCCCGAAAACTAAGTGGCAGTATTACAAGACGCTGGACCACATGCTCAGGAACGCGAAACAGCACGGCCCCCTTTGGTAAAGCACCTTGCTATCCTCTTCATTACTCTTCATTTATTTTTTTTTTCGGAAGGCGAGGCTTTAGGGAGTCCGAGATGTTTGCATTAATTTCCTTTAGTGCACACGTAAGATTTAGTGCACACGTAATTTCCTTTAGTGCACACGTCGACCTACGCTGTCTTGTCCCGTTTTTCGTGCAGTATTAGCAGTTCATAAAGAGAGACAGCAGTATCCCTTAAAATGTTTGAAAACTGTGTTGCAAAAAGTATGTTTGACTTCTGTAATGCATAAACATAGTACAGCACGCTTGTTTTGGAATACTTTTTCTGGTGCCTGTGATCTGTTGAAGACTTGGTTGCAGCGTCTTAGACAATTTATGTGGCCGCACGTGCTGTTTCCGAAATACAGAGCTAAAAAGAAGGAGGGTGTTTAAATTGGTACTTCAATATATGCCGCCGGAATTCTATAGGACATGGTCGACTCGGTTAAGTAGAAGGGCGAGATTGTTTCAATACTTGACATACCAAAATTTGCGTCAGATTGACGGTGCGCAAAAGCTTGTACATTAAAATCAATACATGTTACAGTATCGTTTTCCTTAGAGGATGACTATGTTATACCCTTCTGTGTCCTACAGATTGTGATAGCTCGCAGAACTGCTTGAGGGCTGCGTGAGTGATGCTTTCTAAAAAAAACGGTTAATGATTTTCAGCATACTAGATACTCTACCATGGAAGAGCTTAAAGCCGTCCCGTGGGCCTCACATGTGAAAGAATGATGTCATTAACTTCCGGACCAAAGATCAGCACCCAACTCTTAATGCCCCTTTGTGAGTCTATGCACCGTCGTATTAGGTCATAGTTAAATCTTTGAGATCAAACAACATGAAAATAAAAGTTTATCCAATAAAAATAAAAGTTTATCCAATAAAAATAAAAGTTTATCCAATAAAAATAAAAGTTTATCCAATAAAAATAAAAGTTTATCCAATCCAATCCAAACAACATGAACGAGTGCTTGTTGGTCGCATAAAAAATGAAAAATAATTTCACTTGGTCTTTTTAGGGGAAATAGCCTTCATACCGAAGGAATTTTAGCTCCGCCGCGTTGGTCTAGTGGCTCAGGTACACGGCTGCTGACCCGCAGGTCGCGGGATCGAATCCCGGCTGCATTTTCGATGGAGGCTGAAATGTTGTAGGCTCGTGTGCTCAGATTTGGGAGCACCTTAAAGAATTCCAGCTTGTCAAAAATTCTGGAACCATTCACAACGGCGTCTCTCATAATTATATGGTGGTTTTGGGATGATATACCGCACATATCGATCAACCCAATTAGAATGAGTTTACCATTTTTGCGACGTGGTTAGTCCATGTTTTTATAGTTCTTCGGGAACTGCTAGTGACTGCAGAATAAAAGGTGCGTGATGGAAACTTTACTGGTCGGATTGTGCCGCAAAGGTTGATTTGATTGATATGTGTCGTTGAACGTCCCGAAACCACTGTGCCGCAAAGGTGGCAGCGAAAGAAGGTGACGAAGTTATCTTTTAAAGAAGATGTAAATACGCGAACAGTGCATAAAAGAAAAGGAAAAGTTTGTAATTTAAGAATACGAGTACAGAACCCTAATAAACTTGTGAGGCAAAAATTTCAAAATAACAGTTGCAATAATGCCAATAATACATTCTCTGATAAATGATGCAAGCTTTTATCAATTAATTCATGTCTTTCAAGAATCGTTAAGTGTGGATGAAATATGTTATTGCTGCAAACCGTACGTATTCGGTGCGCAGGTCCTTTAGTGTACACCCCTAGTCTTTCTGAAAGCCCTCCCACCTCGCTGTGACTCCACTTCACTTACTTATTGTTGTGAATTTGGGTGAGTTGGTTAGTAAGTAACTATGGTTGCGCACTAAGAACACTAGGGCATGGACAGTGCGAACTTGCAACTAACTTAATTTGTCTTCGTAGTCAACGAATACGCCCATCAATGACGGGGTAAGTACCAAAAATCATTGCATTGTCACACTCTGTACATTACAGCAGGCCCCGCAAGAAGCTCATTCACCGTCCAATAAGGAAACTGAAGATTGGAGAGCGCAGGTATTATGTCTTGTCGAAATATAAAAGGCTTCCATCACTTGCCCTGTATGCACCGCACATCTCACCATTTGAAGATTGTTGCAAGCAGGCACAATGTGCCGGTGGTTTTTTCTTCTCCCGCGCAAGCTGGCAAAGCTCTTCCCGAAAGTTTCTTCGGCTAAGAAGAATCCTGGAAGGTGTGGCGTGAAACACTAGCTGCTTTATTTACCCTGCGCGGTTGGCGTTGTTTACGCAATTCCGCGTTTACGTGGAAACTTATATGCCCGACGGCGCACCAACGTTAGTGCGAGAGAACATGAGTGGTCGATAATCAAGAAGAGAAACTGCGCACTTACCCGCGGACGTCCGAAATTGCATACGTGCTCTGAATTTCCGAGCCATCAGACTTTTGGGCAGGAGCCACGACAACCAGTGAAGTCATGGAGGCCTTTTATATCTCGACAAGAAGCAATGCCTGTGTTTGGCGCGATTCAGTTTCCTTTTTGGCATGGTGCAATGAAGTTCTTGCGTGGCCCGTTGCAATCTACACGGTGTGATAATGCCATGACTGTTGGTACCTACCGTGTGATTGTAGAACGTATTTATTCTATAAGAAGAAAAATATAATTAACTGTAACTTTGCGTTCGCCCATGTCTGCCATGTCCTTGCGTTCTAAGTGCGCAACCACAGTTACCTACCATGACTACATTAATTAAACGCATACGCTAAAAGAAGTTACGTTAAAATTCAGTAAGCTATCACAACCATATCTAGCGCAGCGAAATACAGCTATAATAAAACCATCTTCGGTCTTCAGCTTTATAAATGTTATTTTGAATAGTACTTGAAAGTTTTAAACGTTCTGTCAACCTTTTAGCCAAAAAGAGCACATGAAGGATAAGTGAAGAAGCTTGGAATTTTTCTAGACTAAAAGGATCGCCCTTACGTTTTTAATGCAGCCAAATGGACCCTATGGTCAAGCCAAAGACAGAACCGTAAGTCAAACTCTGAAATTTTTCAAAGTGATATTGCTTCAAGCTGCCACTTTGTTTACTCGCTCTTATTAACGTGTTGCAGAGTCGAATACGTCTTCGAGGGCACGGAAACGCAAGAGTGAGTATGCATCTACTCAAATCAAACTGGCTTGGGGTAACGTAGTGGTGATGTGTTGTGCGAGTTTTTGGAAAACGACAGATATACGTGTGAAAAACTTGATTACCGTGCTTTTTGTTGTGAACTTTGTCGCACGTGGCACAAAAAAAAAAGCGATACGACTAAATGTCGCAATGCCCAAGTATCAAATACTCTGCTAATAACATCAACACATTCTTCCGATTTCTGAAGGGTGTTACGTGTCGTGCACGGTTCGTTCATACATTTATGCAACAATGTTGAATGCCGGAAGCGGAGTGACTGAGCAGTTGAATAAGTGAAAATGCCACTCCTTGTCTTGTTACTCCTAATACTGATTACACAACTATTTGCAGTTCACGAAATGTGTTACTCGATTAATTTGATTGATATGCGGGGTTTAACGTCCCAAAAGAACCATATGGCTTTGAGAGACACCGTAGTGGAGGGCTCCGCAAACTTCGTGCACCTGGTTTTTTTTTTAACGTGCACCCATATCTGAGCACACGCGTCTACAGAAAATGTATTATTTGAGAAAAGTTCTGACAGATGCTGATCGATACAGCTTAGTTTCGGGTGTCCTGCGACGCTCTTTCGTCGAAGTGTTATAGTGCCTAGAAGCTACTGCCAGTATATTGTGGTTGTTAGTGAGTCTTTGGCGGTATGGTCGTGGGGTGATCGCCTGACCACATTCAATGACATTACAAAACATCACACACTGAACCGACGCAAATATTCACCACCAGACAACAAATTGAAAGACAGGCCGTACAAAGAAATAGACACCCCCAGCCCAGTAATCCCTGTGTTATCCGAGCCTATAACCGATGGATGCGTGTAAGGCGTGCGGGGAAAGGGCCACTCTGCGCCACATGCTTTGGGAGTGTGCCGGTAGAGTTAACGCGGCCGCCGCTCCCTTCGCGACGCATGTTAGGCAGGGACGAGCTCTGATGCCTAGTTCACACTGAAACATCCGCTTTCTACAGCGACCGAAATTCCCCTGCCGCCGAAACGCAGCGTCGTTCGCAGTGGACGCGCCCCGCGCCGCCGAATATGCCATCTACTACAGGGCGAACGCGGGATGGATGCGCTGTCACCCGGTTGTTGCCGCGGCTCGAAAACGCTACTACGCTATCCGGTGGTGTATACTTCGACGATTCTCGTACGCAACAAGCAAGAAAAGACAGTACTGCTTACTTTGCTGGCAAGTGGCTGTCTTGTAATGCACGAAGAGCAGAAAAACCACCCACGCCAGCGGCGTTGGTGGGTTCGTTTCGCCCTGCAAGACCGCAACAAGCTCGGTCACGCCAACAGCAAGCTCGGTCACCTCTTTCACGAAATACGGAGGCGAAGTAGGCACAGAGTAGGTTAAACTCCCGTTGGTTTCAACATTCAGTTACGTGCACTGCGGCATAACAAGTGAGTAGGGCTTGGCCGCCATTTTTCAAAATTCCTTGACCAGCGCTTCTATTGGTCCGCGGTGACCGATTCGGCGGCAGACGCCGCAAAAATCGGTCCGAGAGCGATCGGCGCGGAGAGGGCTGTTGGGACTCCGGGTCCTGCCGGTCTCGTTTTCGGTAGCTGGCCCCATCGCAGGATCCATCGTCCAACAATTCAGCGAGAAGAAGCGCCCGAACGAACAACAGAGATTTATTTACATGTGGAGAAGTGGTCAACTGACCCAAAGAGAGAAGAGTGCGTGTGATACAAAACGTCTTCGGCATTTTATAGCGCCGCGCCGTTGACACTGGGCGCCTTGTCCGCATCGTCAGCCAATACGGTGTCGCCGGCACCTCGGCCACGAGGGAGGGGAAAACACCTCTCACAACACAAGGAGTGGCACCACCCAACACGAGGTCCATATATGGTCCGGGCGCCCCAAAATGTTACCAAATATGGTCACGAACGCACAGCAGACCCCGTAGCTCTCCCGGCGAGGAGGAACCCGAATGGGGAGGTGGGGTGGACGACACCGTCAGGTCAAGAACCGGTTCTCCCCCAAACTCTCCCTGCTTGGCTCCCCCGGGCCGGTCGTAACAGTCTCTCGCGCGGGGGGGTGAAGATCTCGATGGGCTGAGGTTTGCAGCCACTGTCCGGAGAGATCAGCGCCGGCAGTCGGTTTGGTGACGACCGTTTTTGATGAAGTAGAGGGCAACACCTGCTTCATTGAGGGCTCAACAGACGTCACATACGCACATGAAAACACAACTACTCAGCCGGTGAGCGCCGGACAATTCCGCCAAACTCCACCAGGCAATTTTCCCCTTTAACTGATATTTAAAGGAAATACACAATTTATTCAAAATGTTACTCACACTTTAAGGTGACACAAAACAACAACACTGGAAGCACACCGAACCCGAAACCCTGGATAGCCGTGTCTTCAACGTTTTCAAACAAGTACACCTAAAAGAGTAAAAAAAAAAAACAATCACTAGCTCTTGTCTAGGCCAGGGAAAAAAATGCCAGAGTTCTCGAGACATCCTCTCGCGTCAGGGGCATCGACTTAAGCCATCAGCGTTGCCATGGAGTACACCCTTTTTGCAGCGTATTTCAAACGTATATTGTTGCAAAACGAGGCTCCAACGCAGCAGGCGGCCGTTCTTAGAGGACATGGTCTGTAGCCAGGTGAGAGGACAGTGGTCCACTTCCACAATGAACTTGCTTCCGGCAATATAACAAGCCAGTTTCTGGACTGCCCAAACCAAGCACGCACATTCCTTTTCGCTAGCGCTGTAAACCTGCTCGCGAAGGGTGAGTTTCCGGCTAACATAGAGGACGGGATGCTCTTGATCCCCCTCATCCCTTTGACTAAGAACTGCCCCCATGCCTCTATCACTAGCGTCGCATTGGATTATGAAAGGCCTCGAGTAGTCCGGTGAACTAAGCACAGGTTGGCTCTTAACACTCGCTCCATCACGGAGTGAAGCTTTTCTATCGAGTTAGACTGCGGATGGTAGACGGAACTATGCAATAATTTCACGCCACACCGCTCTAGAAAGGTTGTCGTTAAGGCACTCGTGAAAATGGTGCCCTGGTCTGATTGTATCTCGGCAGGAAAGCCTACCCGGGCAAACACGGACAGAAGTGCGTTCACTACTTCCACGGAACTTAGCTCTTTTAGCGGGACCGCCTCTGGAAATTTAGTAGCTGGGCAGATTAAGGTCAGGATGTGACGGTAGCCTGAAGTTGTCTTGGGCAAAGGACCTACTGTGTCAATTACCAACCGACGAAAGGGCTCCGTGATTACGGGTACCAGCTTCATTGGAAATTTCGCCTTATCTCCCGGCTTACCCACTCGCTGACACACATCGCAAGATTTTACAAAACTCTCTACATCTTTAAAGCATCCAGGCCAGTAGTATTCCTGTAAAAGACGATTTTTCGTCTTCTTTACGCCTAAGTGGCCTGACCATGATTCTCCATGCACCAAACTAAGCAAATCCTGACGATACGCCTGAGGTACGACTACCTGGTCAAATTCTACTCCTCGCCTATCTAGATATTTTCGATAGAGTATGCCGCTCCTCTCTTGGAATCTCACATTTCGTTTGGCGATTCCCTCTTTCGAACTGTCCTGGAATTGCTTAAGCGTCGGGTCCCCCTTTTGTTCGGTTATTAATGAAGCGGGACTCACCTGCAGCAGCCGACTGAAATTATCCGAAGTTGGCATGACACACAACTCTTTTGTATTTCCTAGTACCTGGAATGTGTCACCCTCTGTGCTATCCTCTGTACTACCAGGAATCGGCTTGGGAGCAACGGCATTTTCTATTTGCTCGGTCAACGAGGCGTAATTGACCCCTTCCAATTCGGAAGGAGGTTCATCGTCGCCTTTAGGAATGGTTGCCTCCGCGACTACGGCTTCTGCAGCCTGTTCTCGCACAAGTCGATTTGTTTCCGTGGTGTCCAACTCGCAACCAGGCCCGTTGTCGATTTGAGGCTTGTTTGCCTCAGTGAATGTTGCTCTCGCAGCCAGCGCACGTGCCTTCGATCTAGTCAGTGCCTGCACTATGCCTTCTCCCAACGTTAGACCTTTCTCCTTCAGCATTTGATCTGACTTATTTGAAAATAAGTAAGGATACTGAGGGGGTAGATATGGCGATACCGCGGCTTCCGTTTCCAACGTACCAAATGCGCCTTTAAGGACAACTTTAGCTACGGGGAGGCACTGACTGTTTGCTTCTACGGCTTGTCTAATCCAGGCACAGTCTCCTGAATACTGTCCGGACTGAACAAAAGACGGATGAACTACGTCCATAGTGGCTGCGGAGTCTCTAAGAACCCGACACTGCTTGCCGTTCACGGTAAGGTCGTACATATAGGGCTCTAACAACTTCATGTTCTCGTCGGCTTCATTTATAGATAAAAAGGCTACCTTTTCTTTCGGGCAGTCTTTCGCGAAGTGCCCTGTTTCGTGGCAATTGAAACAAGCAGCCGGGTTTCTCGCCTCAAATTTCCTTTTGCTTGCCTCTGCCGACGCCCCATGGTTAGATGAATTGTTTTCCTCACCCTTTTGTGCGAGACTCGTTGGTTGTTTTCTAAACGGCGCCTTATTCGGTCGTAGGAATTTTTCCCCTTTTGGCTCGCTGCTTGCCCCGAGGGCGCGGCGCATAACGAATTCTTCAGCGAGCTCTGCGGCTTTTGTTACGGTGTTCACGTCCGGTCTATCCTGCACCCGGAACCTCACCTTTTCTGGTAACCTTTGATAGAATTGTTCCAGACCGATACACTCGAGCACCTTGTCATGATTCCCATACGCCTTTGCCTCTTTCAGTCACTCCCCCATGTTGGCCATTAACTTGTAAGCAAACTCCGGGTATGAATCATTGCTCTCTTTTACGGCGTTGCGAAATTTTTGTCTGAAACCTTCCGCTGACAACCTGTATTTCTTGAGAAGGCTCGACTTTACCTCACTGTACTCGTCAGCCTCCTCTTTCGTGAGGCGCGCGATTACTTCTGAGGCCTCCCCCGGAAGTAGGGACAACAAGCGTTGAGGCCATGTATCCTGGCTGAAACCTTGCCTTTCGCAAGTTCTCTCAATGTTGACGAGAAACAGCCCAATGTCCTCCCCTAGCTTGTACGATCTCATTAGGTCTGTCATTTTGAACCTGACCCGCTCTGCTGTACCGGATGCCTCGCTGCCTCCTGTTCTACTATTATGGCTAATCTCTAGCTCGAGGCGCTTCATTTCAAGCTCGTGCTTTCGCATCTTATCTGCCTCTGTTTCTGCCGCTTTCCTTTCGGCCTCCGCCGCCTTTTCTTCGGCCTCGGCCGCGGCCGCCTTTCGTTCGGCCTCTGCCGCTTGCCTCTCCTGAATCTCCTCGACACATTCTGACAGCTCGTCATCCTCCGCCCCCAATGCGAGAATCGCCTCTATCAGCTCTGGCTTTCTTTGAGAGTCCGACACCTCCAGATTCAACTCCCTTGCAAGTAGCAACAACATGGACTTTCGCAGGGATTTCAGATTCATGGCTGCCTCCAGTACCGCTGTCTCTGTTCCACAAAGATTCCTGTCCTGCAACTAATTAACCTTGACGGCAACGACAGCTCTAGATACCTGCCTTGCCTCAAGTTTTCCGTTAACTTAGTCTACAAATAAAGCTTCAAAAGCTCTTACACGGAATCCTGCCCTGTCACTGTTAACCTTGACGCCACTGACAGAAAGAGCTTAACCAAGCTATCACACAATTTCTGCCTGACGCAAGTTACCTGTTAACCCAATGACCAAGACAGCCCCTCTCTACCAGCTTTTACTTAACACATAGAGTAAATGCCTGGTAAAATTTAACAGAGAAAGCCGGCACTCACCCAGTTCGCAGTCATGTCTCCGGCGTCGTGCCTCTCAGAAGTGCCGTTCGGTTCCCTTTGGAAGTCGATGAGCTCGTGTAATCCTTCTCCTGTCGTCCCGTTGTTGAACTTCGGGCTCACTCCGTCCAGTGGTCGCTTTCGGGGTTATCATCATCCCGCCGCTGCCATCCAGTTGTTGGGACTCCGGGTCCTGCCGGTCTCGTTTTCGGTAGCTGGCCCCGTCGCAGGATCCATCGTCCAACAATTCAGCGAGAAGAAGCGCCCGAACGAACAACAGAGATTTATTTACATGTGGAGAAGTGGTCAACTGACCCAAAGAGAGAAGAGTGCGTGTGATACAAAACGTCTTCGGCATTTTATAGCGCCGCGCCGTTGACACTGGGCGCCTTGTCCGCATCGTCAGCCAATACGGTGTCGCCGGCACCTCGGCCACGAGGGAGGGGAAAACACCTCTCACAACACAAGGAGTGGCACCACCCAACACGAGGTCCATATATGGTCCCGGCGCCCCAAAATGTTACCAAATATGGTCACGAACGCAGACCCCGTAGCTCTCCCGGCGAGGAGGAACCCGAATGGGGAGGTGGGGTGAACGACACCGTCAGGTCAAGAACCGGTTCTCCCCCAAACTCTCCCTGCTTGGCTCCCCCGGGCCGGTCGTAACAGGGCCCTTTCGGCGGATCTCGCCGCCGCCGAACCGGATTCGGAGCACTTTCGGTGGCCGGAATGCTCAGTGTGAACGCGACCTGAGGCGAAACGTTTCTGCTACCACCACGCGAGGGCCGCCGCGGCTGCGGTCACTGCTGCTGATCAGACGACCCATAGCTGGCTGACCAGCTTTGCGCCGTCCGGCAAGCCGAAAATGCCGCCCAGGTCCAAGGACTTCAAGCGGTCACCTGAGGCACCGCCATCTTCATCGACTGAGGGTGGGATAGAAAAGGAATAATCCACTCCCCCGAAAAAAAATCGAAATTAAGTTCATTCAGTCATACATAGGTCAGGTCGTTTCCGCTGTGAATGGAATACGAAGACTATCGACTGCGCTCACGTTGCTGTTTCCGTTGTTCGTATCTTTTTGATTGCAGGGTGACAATTGATGCAGGGACTTCTCAAGATGGTGACCCGAGCCTCGCGGCTGAGACGTGAGTGAATTTTCAATACACTGAATCATAGGGGGGCGCAGGGTCTTCCATCAAGGAGGATGTAGGTTCATCGCAGCCTCCCCCTTCCTGTTATGTCAATATATGGGGCAAATCTTGCGTCCCCCTTTCTAGGTCACTAGGAAAGCCCCCTTCCCCCTTGTACGCGAAAATTTCCCTATCAATAAAAAATAACTTGTCTAATGAATAGTCTCGGTTTTAATTATGATCCGTTATTACTTACAGTTTTACTCGCAAGAGCTATTTTTCTCAAATATCACATTATGCTTGCATCTGAAGAGCCCGAATAAGCATAATGTTGCTTGTTGGTTAATCTTTCAGTTTGAACAAGTCGTTCATAGTGGCACTGAGAGCTCACACTCGGTGCCCTTCGTCATCTGGCTTGACCTCTGTCAAGTACTTGCAAAGCTCAGTTTCATTATCAACTACCGAAGTCACTTTTCTGATCTGTAGCGCTAAAGATGTAATGTAGCTGCGCAATGATATTTCTGCTATGCCGATGATCGGTTTTATGTACTAATGGCAGCCTTCAAATACACTGGCATATATGTGTAAGTACAAGTATACCTATCAAATTATACTTTATATTCCTCCTACTTGGAGTCTGCGGCATGCAACCGTAAGTGTTGACTGTTATCGTGAATCTGTTCATGTTTTCCGCAGGACTCAACGTTTTCCACACAGTCTTCAAATGCCAAACTGTTTCAATAGGGCATTCCATTCTATGACTGCAAACTTGCAAACTTCATATCACACCGTCTTATTATCTGCTATTCCGTACCATTTTATCTCTTGATACATTCTCTGTCAGTCTTGCTAAATACTACTGCCTCTCCTGTATTCATTTTTTTCTAAGCAATTATATGATTCTTTGGCGCTTGTTTTCGTTGCAGGACAAGTAATGGAGCGACCCTTGAAAACAGTCATGACGCGGACACCGTTGAATTGCATCGGAATGAAGTTATGTCATCTCCAGAAACCGCAGGCGCATCAAGTCTGTGAGTGAGCTATAATAACACACAAAGGAATTTTCACTCCTGTAAAATGACACAGTGATCTATAATACGAGATTCAGCAGCTATGCACGTTGCCTGAGATCGTTCCTAGTGTTCTGTGCATTGATGTGATGTACTTGGTACTTGATAGTATTGAAGCACTAATATTGTAAAGCTGCCATGAAGTTGCGATGAAAATCAACTCACCAAGTTGACAAAAGGTCTCCTTGCATATTCTTTTTATAAATAAACCGGCTCGGCTAAAGCACGCTTGAGTTAAACTAATTGATACTGCGAAATTTAATCGAAGGTGCACTTTGAATAAGGCTTGCTAAGCTAGCGATGCACATTTCATATCTCTGGATATTCGTGAATAAACATTTCTTATCTATCTATCTATCTATCTATCTATCTATCTATCTATCTATCTATCTATCTATCTATCTATCTATCTATCTATCTATCTATCTATCTATCTATCTATCTATCTATCTATCTGTCTATCTATCTGTCTATCTGTCTGTCTGTCTGTCTGTCTGTCTGTCTGTCTATCTATCTATCTATCTATCTATCTATCTATCTATCTATCTATCTATCTATCTATCTATCTATCTATCTATCTATCTATCTATCTATCTATCTATCTATCTATCTATCTATCTATCTATCAGAAGGTTGCGTGTTCGAATCGCGTCCGGGTCACCATTATCTGTCGCAGCTAACACGAGAAAGATCCAGCCCCGACAGCGTTCGGTTTTCGGACTGACTTTTTTTATTTATTATCGCGCTGCACCTGCCGCGAGGCAGGTGCAGCGTGATAATAAATAAAAACGAGCGCCGCAATCTGAGGCGCTTCATATCTATCTATCTTTTAGCTCTCCTGGCCGTTTAGATTATGGTATCAATGCCAAACTTGGGATGGCATAACATGACTGTATGACGAGTATAAGGGACTAATCATAACATGAAATTCATGACATGCATGTCATGAATGTCATGATTTACATATCATGGTCTTTCCGCTTTTGCGGTGGATTCGTTCACATGACATGCTGCAAAACTGGTATGGTATGACATCGCTGCCGAACACTAGCGAGACCCTAACATTAAAATCATGACATGCGTGTCATGTAACAACACGACGACATGCCACTTTCATGATGCGCTCGCGGCAGTTTCGCTAGCTTCGCATATACCAAATTTGGTGTTACGGGACGTGAATGGATGTCGAAGGTATAGGAGTGATGCAAACATGATAATCGTGAGATGCGTGTCATGTAAGATCATGACTACATGCCACACTCAAGGCGCCAATTCACTTCGACGTGACACGGTGCGCGTGCGCACCAGCGTTTGTTTGGTCACGTCATGCCGGCGATGCCACGCCATGCGCCGATCTACCTGCCACACATGCGACGCGCTGCGTTTCTTTGGCGCATGCGTGTTTGAGCGCGCCCGGCGTCCGTCCGTCACGAAGAGATGTAGACGCAGTGCTGACTTTGTAACGTCGTCGGCGCGAAATGCGGCATGTCACATTTCGCGCCGGATGCCGCTGGCCGGCGTCGACAGACGCTGGTCGTGCCCGGCGTTGTACTCTAGCGTAGCTTCGCTGCGCCCAGCGTGCGTGCTCGTCAAGGATACGTCGGAGTATATAGGTCCCTTGAACTTGATGTGGTCGGGTCGTTCGGCTAAATTCATGTATACCAAATTTGGTATTACGGGACGTGACTGGACGACGAAGGTATGTGACTGGTGCAATCATGATAATCATGAGATGCGTGTCATGTAAGAACATGACAACATACCACGCTCATGAAGCGCTTGCGGCCGTTTCGCTAGCTTCGCACACACCAAATTCGCTATTGCGTGACGTGAATAGACGATGAAGGTAAGTGACACGACCAAATATGATACTCATGGCATGCATGTCATGTAGAAATAGACTACATGCCACGCCCATAGCACGCTCGCGGCCGTTTCGTTAGCTCCACATATACCAAATTTGGTATCAGGTGACGTGAATAGAGGACGAAGGTAAGTGACACGTCCAAACATTGTAATCACCACATGGAAGTCGTGTACGGCATAATTTACATCCACGTCGTAACGTTGCGCTGACTTTAAAGCGGCATATCAACATTTATCATTCGTGCTTTATATATCGTTGATTCCACTTAACGTGGGATATGCCAATCGTTTCTGCTTTAGTGCGTTCGTTATTTCTGACGCGATATCAGAAACAACCAACGTCAATTCGGGGCTCTCGCATGGCAACGAAACGAAGACTTGCTTTAGAGGTCATAGGGACAGTGTGAAAAATATTTAGAAGTAAAGTAATGAAGGTTGGAAAAAATGCTGATGATGATTCATATTTCATATGTGGGGTTTAACGTCCCAAGACAATCATATGAATATGAGAGATGCCGTATCGGAGGGCTCCAGAAATTTCGACCACCTGGGGTTCCTTAACGTGCACCTAAATCTGATCACACGCGCCTACAACATTTCTGCCTCCATCGGAAATGCAGCTGCTGCAGCTGGGATTCAATCCCGTGACCTGGGAATCAGCAGCCTAGTACGTTAGCTACTAGACCACCGCGACCGGGCAAAATGTTGAATGAAAGCCATCATTCTTTTATGCCTACTTGCGTTTTCTTAAAAATTTTTTTGACGGTTCGTAATCATTTTGGTATTTTCAGAGTACGACTAAACTCTAGACACCTATAAAAAATTTCACCATAAGAGCTATGAACATATTTCCCTACTGCTGTTTTGTGAAAGTGGTTTCAGCAATAACTTATCGACAATAGGTATCTGCTGGAATGTACGTGTTGTGGTGAACTTGAGATAGCACGTTTTATTTCAAGTGTGGCCATGGCAGCCACACATTGAATGGGGCTAAATGAAACACCACCGCCATCTACCTCAATATATATGCATGTGATACAGAACAAATTGGGGTGGAACCTAATTCGCTAGCCCATAATATATTTATTTTTTCCTCATATTTCCAATATTGTACAAGCTGCGTAGGGTAGTTTTTAGTCAGTGAGAAATGTAATGGTACTTATTGGGCTACATGAACAAAACTATCCACTACTACCTAATTTTAGCGGAAGTAGCACTGTAAAGTTCAACTGGTCCATTAAAAAAGGCTATGTGCTTTGGTTATCAGTCACATCAAAGGCCAACTGCAACGACATTTCACTTCGGCAGAATTGGCTGGAATGGGTGGTATATGTTAGGTATGCAATGATAATGACAGTGAATAAACTTACAATCGTGTAATTTATTATAATCGTTGCTCTAATTGCCAGCTTGCAGACGAGGCTCTAGTGGTGTGCCCGGGCAGCACACAAACGGAAACCAATTGAATTGCAGCTCACCTCCGCTCGTCAGCAGAACTCCCTGCAGCCGCATTGGTCCTTTTTCTGCGTGGCGCCCCTTTACGAGCAGATATTTCAGAGTAGTTAACTCTTTTTTTGTATAGCACAAATTGCGCGGCCGTGGGCTGCTGGAACATGTGTTATGGCTCGGAGCAGCTTTATGGCTGTTACGGCTCGGAGAGTTGAAACATGTGTTACGGCTCGGAGCAACGGGAACATCGAGAGGGGCGGGTTATCGGAGTAGGAAGCGAAAGTATGAAGCGGAAGGAATGGTGTTGTGACTGGCGCCCAAGATGACGAGGGAGCGCGATCTTTGGATCTTCAAACAAGTAGCCGACCAGCCGGCTGCCTATGACCGCCAGGCATTGTCCCTCTTAGCCGGAGGGTGAGACGTCGTGTCGCCGGGACGCCTTAAGTCGTTCATGAGAGGACAACAAATGCAACATCTTCCTTGAAAGAGACCGTGGCGGCCACCGCAAATCGCCCCGCTAATTGAGTGAGCAGTTCGGCGCACCGTTTGAAGTATGCTGTCAGGAGCTTGGGACCTCTCAACCAGCGGCACACACACGACGAGGAAGAGCCCTGCTGGCGCCACCTTGGAGGGCAGAGTCACGCCTCAATATTGGACTTGCACGTGGGCCGTGCATCCTCTTCCTCCTCGCCGGCTGTGTGTGATCTGTGATTGAACAGTAACCTCGGCACGTGTTCCCTGATCTAGGGATTGGGGAGAACATATCCTTTGTAATGAGCCATTCGGCTTATTCGAGAGAGCACCATGTAGAGGAACGCCAGATTCGAAAGCTCGCTATGCAAGAAAGAGCTCGTCATGTAAGAGAGCTCACCTTGTATATAGTGTAAATAAACCCTCTTAAAGTCTCTCGTCCTCCTGCCTCGACAGCTTCATCCCGGACCTCCGCTGCCTGCAAACCTGGTCGTAACAATGGGAAACATCGAAAAGCGTGGTTCATTACGCGAAGCACCTCATAGATTACGAATATAAACAAAGCTGGTGTCTCTCCGCCCAAGTACTCTTGAAATTGAAAAGAATATTGAATAATGCCTTGAGTATCAGCCACCGCATGCACAAGAACAAGCTCCGACCGCAGTTTGGAAAAGCGCTGGCGACGACGTGTATTGGTTAGACAGCTTTAGCATAGCGTAAGAAGTTTGCGTTAGCGTGTTTCGCTCGCCAAAGTACAGCGTAACCTATATTCCAGAGAGAAAACCGGTAAAACGACGTCCCTCGAATTGCTAGACAAGCTTGACCATCAATGATCGTGTAATGAAACCTCCGAAAGCTGACCTGCTCGCTTCTACAGTTGCGAGTAGTCAAAGTAGCGATGTTCGACAGATATGTAATCGTGCTCAGTGCAAAGCTACTTATGCACACAAACGTATTAACGAGTTGTGCCACGTTAGGTTTGATGTAAGTGTTTTAGGCGCAAATTTTACAATAATGCCGGGACGCATTTGGTAGACATTTGGGTGCACCAAACCACCCATTGGTATCGAAAATAATGCCACATTATCATTTGTAGTCTATTAACAATGCGACAATGTCCGAAGCGTTAGCTAGTGGCATCGTTTATCGTGATCCAGCGAGTTCGCCAAGGCAGC